AGCCACCTTTATATAAATCTTTAGATATACATATCTCCCATTCTTTGTATCTATCTCTTGATATATTTACATATATATGTATATATTTAGATACAGAGATAGGGATATATCAATATAGAGAAACACACGCCAGCAGAGGCGTGGCAAATTGAAAACAATCAAAATTCAAAATCTTTCTCTCATTTGGTGATCTTAAGTCTAGTTAACAGTGGACTCCTTTGACTTCTTCAGACTGATCTATGCTTCATATCATTGTAATCAACCAAGTTTACAGCCGGTAGTGCTCCATAGTAGTGTTTTTACTTGCTTTAAGCGCATGTTGATGGCTGAATGAACCGTTTAAGGTAACAAGTTTTAGGTATGAGATAGATGTATTGATATGAAGATATATACTTTATGTATATATTTATGAAATCATGATATCATAATATCATATGATATCACAAAAAGCCTCAAAAAGTCGTATCTATTTTTAGAGAATTCACATTATATATTAAACAAATTCTCTGGAATTTTAACTATATTCGAAATTATAGTAGAGCACAAGTATATATAGATACCCAGACATACATTATACATATGAATACAAATTTACATATTTATTGGCAGAGTGTTTTGGAGAACTTTCATCGAATGCAAATAAAATGCTGCGTTTATCGTTTCTGGTAGTTTAAGAAATTCATTGTTTTTATTTTAAGTTATAACATTATAAAAAAAAGATTGGTTCGAAAAAAAAAAATGGGAGGAATATCGATTTGAAGCGTTCTTGGAGCCAACTAGTAGACGTAGCCGCCGTTCGAGCCGTAGACGGTGTCAATGCCCGAGTATCTCACTACATTGGCAACTGGAGCGGTAGCGGCAGCTGCAGCGGGAGCAGAATACGAAGCACTCTCGAAGCTGGCCGCGGGAGCAGCATACGACGAGTCGCTGGCGAAGCTAGTGGCTGGAGCAGCGTACGAGGCGCTCTCGAAGCTGGCAGCTGGGGCGACGTAGGATGACTCGCTGGCAGCGGCAGCGGCGGCGGCTTCAGCGGGAGCAGCATACGAGGCGCTCTGGTAGGTGGCAGCAGGAGCGACATAGGATGTGTCAGCGGTAAAGCTGCTGGTAGCTGGGGCGGTGTAGGTCTTGCTGGTGAAAGTCTTGACTGGGGCAGCATAGGAAGCGCTCTGGTAGGTGGCGGCAGGAGCGGTGTAGGTCTTGCTGGTGAAAGTGTTGGCTGGGGCAGCATAGGAAGCGCTCTGGTAGGTGGCAGCAGGAGCGGTGTAGGTCTTGCTGGTGAAAGTGTTGGCAGGGGCAGCATACGAGGCGCTCTGGTAGGTGGCAGCAGGAGCGACATAGGATGTGTCGGCGGTAAAGCTGCTGGTAGCTGGGGCGGTGTAGGTCTTGCTGACGAATTGCTTAGCTGGGGCGGCATAGGTAGTGCTCTGGTAGGTGGCAGCAGGAGCGGTGTACGCCTTGCTGGTGAAAGTCTTGGCTGGGGCGGCATACGAGGTGGTCTGGACGGAGGCAGCGGGAGCCACGAACGAGGAGTCGCTGCTGAACGAGGCTGCATCGGTAGACGCCGCAGCAGCTGGGGCGGCATACGAGGCGCTCTGGACGGAGGCAGCCGGAGCGATGTAGCTCTTGGTCACACTCGTGACCACGGAGGAGCGAGGTGGCAGATAGGTGTTGCTCAGGTGGCTGACATCAGCGGCGGCCAAGGCCACCAGGGCGAACGAGACGATGGCAAAGAGTTGCTGAAATGACGAGCAGGAGCTATTAGCAGGAGCAGGAGCCGGAGCCAGAGCAGCAAGTCCTTACTAACCATTGTGTGTGAGAGTGTGTGTGTGTGTGTGTATGTGRGGGTGCTGTGTGGGTGTTCCTGCGCGTTGCTGCGTTGACAAAGTTGGTCAAAGAACTAACTTTTGACTAGCGCGTCCTAGCATATTTATAGTCAAGAGACAAATGTCAAAGCGACGCAGCGAGAAGAACAAGATAATAAGAACTTGTAGCTAATTTAACAAATGCTCATAAAATATCGTTCATTATAAGCTTTCTATGAATAAACCAGAGAAAAAACTAAAAAATAAAAAAGAGAACAAAACAAATAAGACTCATATAATAATAAAAGCAATGTTCAGAACGAGCTTGAGCTCCTACTGGAGATCGGAGTGAGACGTCCGTCATTGATGATGATTGGTGTTTTGTTCATTAGCTGGCTCAGAGCTCTAAGTTCGATCTGAAACATGTTTCGTTGCTTTTATTTCGGCTGGCATTTATAGCCGCACAGCTCGTCCATTTAATGGGCGACTCATAAAGCACGATATTGGCAAACGAAACTCCATTCATAACGCTCAGCTTGGCAGCTCCGCCAGCTCCCGCTTGGGTCGTCTATAGCCAGCGAGTTCTATGCCCTGCAATCAGTCATAGCGCACAATCAATCAACATGAAAGCAATGAAAAAAGCTACCTTGTGGCAATATTAAATAAGAAACAAATTAAAACACGGTGGGATTTTCAGAGAGCCGAGACGGTCTGGAATTAATTAATCAACAGCCGCAGGTAGCCAAGTGCTGCTGCTGATGATGAGTAACGCCAAGTAGTGGACTCAATATACAAAGCAATTTCATATTTGACATCGAAATGTGTTTGGCAATTAGATATATTGCATTTTAAATATCAGCTATTTATAGCATTTTCTAAATCCGTCTTTTTTGCTCTTCTCACATTCGCATCCGTTATTTAATCGTTTGCTACTCTGATTGATGATTAATGCCTTTTTCATATTGTATTTCGTGAGACATTTCAAATTGGCGCACCATTTAGCAATTCCCATAAGAGAACCATTAACTCTTTAACAGCTCTGCCGTTTAAAGGATTTTCTTGCTGTTATTTTATCGAATCTGGCAGCGCTCCTCCACTTAACAGCTCTACTCTGACTTCCTTAACAGCTCGGGCAGTAATGGTTCCTCTGACAGTTCTTTTACCAGTTCTGGCAGCGCTGTAACAGAGGGATTTCAAATTTGCGCTCCACTTAACATTTCTTGCGATAGTTCCTTAACAGTTCTGGCCACACTGTCTGTGACGAATTTAAATTTAAATTCAAACTGCGCTCCCATTTCTGGCAGCACTCTCGCACTCTTTACACGAGTTCTTTAACAGTGCTGGCAACCTGCCACGCGCATAAGCTGTTGAGCTGCTGTTAATTTAGAAATTTGCAGAGCTGTAACGGCTTGAAGGATTTTAAGCATTGACTGCGTGAAGGGCAAACACTTTTGATGTCATTTCATTAGTTGATTATATTTTAAGTAAAAAAAAAAAGAAGCAATTTAACAGAGCTAGTACTACAATTTGGCTAAGTTACATAATAATAATAATAAAAAAAAAAAAACGATTCACGGTTTCGTAAATGCGAGTTCGGGCGTCTGCTCGACAACCCGTTCAAACGCATTTAGTTTCTCTTCTCATATACGTAGCCGCCGTTGCTGCCATAGTTAGTGCTAATCTGTGAGATGGCATTGGTTGTGTCTGTGGCTGGGGCTGGGGCGGGGCTGCTAATCAGAGCGCTGCTAGTTGGAGTCGAGACCAGAGTTGGAGCTGCAATGGGAGCTGGAGCAGCTTGCTGGACGGTGGTAGTACTCTGCACAAGGGTCTGGGCAGCTGGCTGTGCGTAGCTCACCTGCTGAGCAAGCGCAGGCGTGAAGCTGTAGTTGGGCGTGAACTGTGCCACTGGCGCAGCAACTGGACTGCTCAATTGCAGTGGAGCGGGTGGTGCTGGTACATAGGATTGCTGCAATTGCACTGGAGCCTGAGCTGTGGTGGTATAGGTCACCTGTTGGGGCTGCTGCTGCTGCTGTTGTACTTGCTGCTGTTGCACTTGTTGCTGTTGCCGCTGTTGCAGTTGTTGCTGCTGCACTTGCTGTTGCACTTGCTGTACTTGCTGCTGTAGCTCCTGCTGCGCCTGCTGAACTTGCTGCTGTAGCTCCTGTTGCGCTTGCTGCACTTGCTGCTGCAGCTCCTGTTGTACCTGCTGTTGCACTTGCTGCTGTTGCAGTTGCTGCTGCTGCCGCTGTTGCAGTTGCTGCTGCTGTTGCAGTTGCTGCTGCTGCTGCTGCCGCTGTTGCAGTTGCTGCTGCTGTTGCAGTTGCTGCTGCTGCACTTGCTGTACCTGCTGCACCTGCTGCACTTGCTGTATCGGCTGCACTTGCTGCTGCAGCTCCTGTTGTACCTGCTGTTGCACTTGCTGCTGTTGCAGCTGCTGCTGCTGCTGCTGTTGCAGTTGCTGCTGCTGCTGCTGTTGCAGTTGCTGCTGCTGCACTTGCTGCACCTGCTGCACTTGCTGTATCGGCTGCACTTGCTGCTGCAGCTCCTGTTGTACCTGCTGTTGCACTTGCTGCTGTTGCAGTTGCTGATGCTGCTGCTGTTGCAGTTGCTGCTGCACTTGCTGCTGTACTTGCTGTATCGGCTGCACTTGCTGCTGTTGCTGCTGCACTTGGAATTGGATGGGTGTGGGTGCGGAGGCAGAGACGACCTCTTGTAGATTGTAGGTTGCAGTGGGTGCTGGTGCCTGGTAGCTATAGCCGGTAAATTGAGCCTGTTGGATGGCAGTCTCCTGCACCTGCTGAACAATTGGAGCTGGAGCTGGTGCGGAGTAGACTTGCTGCACCTGCGAAGCAGGAGCAGAAACGGTATATGATTGCTGCACTACCGGGGCAGAGGCGGTATAGGTTTGTTGCACTATTGGAGCAGAAGCAGTATAAGTCTGCTGCACCACTGGAGCTGGGTCTGCAACATAGCTTTCCTGGATGGCCTGAGTGGGAGCGACATATGACTGCTGCACCACTGGAGTGGAGGACGTAATCACTTGGCTCACAGGGGCAGAGTAGGTCTGCTGCACCGCTGGTGCGACTGCTGGAGTGGTGTGGACTTCCTGTGCAGCAGGTGCGGGCGACGAGATCACCTGACTCTCCTGAACCACTTGCGTTGGAGCTGAAATTACTTGGGTAGTGCTCTGAACGGACTGGGTCTCCTGAACCACAGGAGCAGGAGCAGGAGTAGGAGCAGGAGCGGAGTAGGTCTGCTGCACCACTTGAGCTGGAACGGAGTAGGTCTGCTGCACCACCTGAGTTGGAGCTGGAGCAGAGTACAGCTGTTGAAGGGCTGCAGCTGGAGAGTAGTACGTTTGCTGAGCCACTGGAGCTGGAGAGTAGTAAGTTTGCTGAGCCACTGGAGCTGGTGCAGAGTAGGTTGTCTGAGTTACTGGAGCTGGGGCGGAGTAAGTTTGCTGAGCCACTTGAGCCGAAGCAGCGTATGACTGCTGGGCGACTGGAGCTGGTGCTGAGTAGGTTTGCTGGGTTACTGGAGCAGCCACTGGAGTGCTCACCGACTGCTCAACAACGGTTGTGGATTCCTGAGCAGCAGCTGGAGGCGAGGGCACAAAGAGCTGCGTGGGAGCTGCTGGTGCGACGCTGACTGACGATTTAGATGTCTCGTAGCTGACGGCCGTGGGCAGTGGAGCCGTTGACACTTGGTTGACGCTCGACTGGCCGCCGCTGTGGATGGTGAAGCTGCCCAGTGAAACGGATGGACGGATCGACTCAATCTGTGCAATGGATCGCTGCGGCTGCTGTGGCTGCAGCTGATAGCTCTGATAGCTGATCGCTTGCTGGGTGGGCTGCTGTAGACCCTTGATGGGGGCCGGGGGCAAGTAGCTATTCGTCTGCGGACGGGCCAGAGCCAGGCCCACCAGGGCAGTGCCAACGACGACTAACGCAATGAGTTTCTGCCCGCCAAACACAAGACATGCAAATAAACACAAACAGAAACAGAAACAGAAACAGATTAGACAATCCAGAGTTGGCAAACGGCAGGCAGGTGGTAAAAGTGTGGATGGTCGCGGCTGGGCGCACTCGCTTACCATGCTGTGCGTGTGTGGAGTTACAAGATCTGCGCGTGCTACACCAAACGAACGAAACCGTAAAACTGATGCCTGCCCAACAGATCCGATGGGCATTTATAGCCAAATGCCATCTGAAGACTGCGGCCAGAGCACTTGCGGCGACAGCTAGCATCATTGTCATTCCATAATTGGTTCAGCGTCATCTTGGACATCTATATTTCATGGTGTGCGTGAGTGTGTGCCTCTTGTGTGTGAATATGTAAATGCTAAATGCTCACAACAAAAGCTTGCAATTTGGCTATAACTTTGGGCCGATTAATAAATGCCCAAAAAGTTGTAGACAAAAAAAAAAAAAAAAAAAAAAAAAAAAAGACATATAAATAAATAAATGAAAAAAGAAGAAGACACAAGACAACAAACAGCAAACAAACAATGCCTCACACTCTCGGCGACGATGCACACACAATGCCAACAGCTCGCCTCGGCTTGGCTCTGCCTGTGCCGCGCTGTGGCCCAGTCGCGTCTGCTAATCTCATATTTCCCATCTCGGGGGCGGTGTTACACAAATGGCTTTCTTTTCGCAAGCCCACACACACGCACTCAAACTCACCTGCAACAGTTTTCCAGAGCTAAGCCGCCAAACAGCTCTAAGTGTGTTTGCATTTGTTGCAATTGCACATTTGTATAGTTTCTGCCGCGGCTGCCGCGGCTGCTGCTGTTGCTGCTGCTGCTGCGGTCTCTGCTGACCACCAATTGATGCCTGGGTGCGTTCGTTGACTTCACCGAGTTAAATTACGCAATTCAAACTGATCGGGGATCCGTGGCAAACTCCTAGAGTTGGCATTGAATTGAATCAACAGCAGCGATAGGCATCGCTGATAGGCAGCGCTCGATAGCCAGCAGCAGGCCTAAGCTTTCATGCCTCTGACTGATTCTAACGAGGTGGCAACACTGGTGGCGTCAATTGTGCACTCAAGTCGTTATGCAATCATGCAAAGACAAACAAGCACATAAATATCTTGACAAAAAAGCTAAAAAAAATATTGTCTAATTGTTGTTGCTCTTTTCTTGCGGTTTTGCCTTCTGCGTCATTTGCTCAAATTAAAATAAATAATTAAAAATAAGCTAAAATAAATTAGAAACTAAATACTCGAGAAATGTTGCCAAATATGTCATAAATAAAATATATAAAAAAAATAAAAATAAATAAAAAACAAAATAAATAAATAAAAACAA